CGAAACAAATAGCACAAATAAAATAAGTCCCATAAAATCAATTGCACGAAAAAGCACCGCACAAAAATAGATTCATCTATATTATAAAATCCCAAAATTTCATTTTTTATTTTGAGTTTTTTATTTAATTTCTAAGTACTGGGTATAGAAGTTTCGATCGTAGGCGAATATAATTCTTGTTTTTTATAGAATGTTATGCAGACTCCACCGAAAAATTACAGTTATTTCAACTGTATACATCAGGCATTCATATATATATTCTTGATCAGGGCGGGGTGCGAAGCGGTGCTCATCTTTCGTTTCATTCCTCCGTCATTGGCTTTTGGAGATATCACTGTCGCGACTGGACTGATCGGGCCTATACTTTACAGTGACTGTGACGCTTTTCTCTAGGCATTGCAAACATTAGCCCAAAAGGAATGTACTTTTTTAAACTCTTAGAGACAGGAATAAAAGGTATTTATAATGCGGTTCTATAGCAACGGTAATATTCTTCATCTTCTGTTTGTTGAGATCAACAGATGTAAGGTTTGCAAAATTCACGTAAAATCAAATATATGCATGTAGCTTTTCTTCGGCTGTTCTGAGTAGCTTTGCTTTTCAAAACAAATTGTAAACCTTGAAAATTTAATTGACATATTAAGAGAGCTTTTGATCAAAACGCATTTAAACGGAAAAATCTATGCTACCATTTATCTCTGAATATAAGATATATTTCGTAATTCTTTGTCAGAATTTATAGTTTATTACGTGGTTTTGACATTGAATTTTTCTCAAAAGTGGTTTCTCTTTAGAAAACGCGGAAATGTTTTTAATTCTCTTGTTTTTACTTTTTTTTTAACAGGTTTCTGGCTCATTAAGTATTCTTTGAAAATAAAAAAAATAAGCAAAAATTTTTTTTGTATATTATTGAAATTTTGTTATTTACGTATACCTCGTATTATGGGTCAAAAGCCTTTATTAAGGTTATTGAATGAATTCAAACATTTCAGCAATAAATTATTTTCAAAAGTTTGAAAAGGTAAACAAACTTTTCCGACCGTAAAGCATAAAACGTTTATGCCGTTTTCAAAAAATCTCTTTCAAATATAAAATTATGCAACATTATTTTTTTTTAATATTTTATCTTCAATGTCGTATTAATGGACTTTTTTTAAACAAACAATGTTTGGAATGTATTGTTTTTATCGATTAATGAATGTCTTTTTTTTTGGCCAAAGAAAAAGTTTCACTTTCAAAGTTTTCTTCTACGATTTTTTTTAACTTTTTTTGTTTTGTAAATAAAATTTCACTTTTCATTTCGATTAACCAAAAAAGTATAATTTTCAATTGTTTTATATGTATACGTATTCGTGAATAAATACATATATATATGTTGATATGTATATACATACATATATACATATATATAGAGGCGCGCGTGTATGTGTGTCTCACTGCGCACATGGGAAACCATTAACCCCTCTTAACAGAGAAAGAAAACTTTTTGTATTTCATCCAAATAATCACTCATTCAAATACCCTACGACTTAGCGGTAGTGTTGTTGTCACTTTTCTTTTTGATCTCTCGTCTCATGCATCATTATCCGCTCTGCACAAACAACTATTGCAATATTTCACACACTCAGCCAGAGTGCAATGAACGTACAAAAATTATAAAACAACAACAAAAATGAACTGCAGAAACTTTACACACAATGACGTGTTGTGTTATTTTGTTCACATTGACAATGAATACTGAACACATCCACATCACCTCAGGCATTGCTTTACACTAAAAACTTGATAATATATTAATAACTTGTTATATGTTTTTGAAAAAAGTTAAAAAAAAATAAATAAAAATAAGAGAAAAAATAAATATATTAAAAAAATTTCACATATTATATTATATACGTATATATATATGACTAAACTTTAAACATTACGTTGATGTTGCAGTTTTACTGTGCTTCTGTTGTTTGGTTGAGTGGTTAAGCGCCAATTGGCTAAACACCAAACGATACTATACTCTAGTAGTAATGCAGTCATGAATTCAAGCACAAACCGAAGCATAGCATATATATTGTGGTTTTTTGTTGTTTTCATTATATTCGTGGCATTAATGTTATCTAGGTAAACGCATACATATACATTATCTTTCTTTTGCACGGCCGTACACTTTGTAATCACGACGATCATCATTTTATTACTTGGCCAATATTTATGCACAATTTGCATATGTATGCATACAATCTATGTCGTATATACGCATGCATGTATTCACTTACTTATATACAGAGGATATATATGTGCATATATATTTATAAATTCGTATGTATGTGTGAATGCAAGAAGTGCATTGATCTTTTTCAAGCCCGTAGTGGAAAATGTCAATGAACTTGATTTACGTAGCAGAATGGCAGCCAATAATAATAAAAACATGAATGTATGAACAAATGTACCGATGTTATATACTTGTATATGTCAATATTAAATGTAAAAATAGTAAATGAGTGTAAGAAATAAAACATACAGCCGCACAATTTGAAAGGTTAACGTCTACCTCAAACTATGCAATATTTAGTGAAATTTCCAACAAAATTATTTTAAATGCTTAGACAATCTGTGTGCATTTACTAAAATCCGGTCACAAGCACTAAATACCTTTGTAATTATCACATTTGTTAAAGGCTAAAACTTGTGGCTTAATGCAGGCATTTTTCAGCCCGCCGAAAATTCTTGGTATTATTACAATTGTGGTGGGTCACTCGCAAGATCCACAAACACGCATTACAAAGCATCATACTATGAATTCTAGCATGTTAAGTACTGGAATGATTGCTCCTCAACCGAATAAATTCTATAGCAGCAACCAACAGTATCTGAAAGAAAGCTGAATATATATTATACAGGCAAGGCCACATAAATAACACGCATCTTACTGCTGCGATAAAAGAAAAACAAACAAAATAAAGACTTAGTATTAGTAAACTTATTCATATCAAAACGTAAAAAATTTTCCATTACTTTAAAGTATACTTCAAAATGAAAAAGGTTCAATAAATCATGCATTGATTCCGGATCAAAGAAGACTGGTCAAGATCGTTCAATAAGCCATCCATTCACTGTAAAGTATTTCGAAAAATTAAGGCCCAATTATAACGACAGCCGTAAAATCGCCCCAAACATTCATTGGAAAGTCTTTTCGTCTATTTGTCTTCAAATTTTGATACCCCAGAGTTTCAAGTTCTGTTGGCTTACGTATCCAGACAGACAAAAATGAGTGTTATCTTTTAGAGCAGCTTTCTTTAAAAAATTGTGATATTTCTCAGTACTTCAATGTTTTGTACGAATGTGCATGGCCCCATATTTGAAAGCCGTCGAAATTTCACTTATCGAATATTGTCGGAAAACCAATTGTATATAAGCTGTTCTGAGAAAAAATGGAGCGAAATTTAAAATGACAAACAATCTCAATTGTGAGAACCTACGGATTTCAAGGTTCCGATGCGTGAAAGATTCAATGAGGACAATGCACTTCGCCATATAAGCATCCACATAGGAATCAGTAAGCTGTTATTGAAATTGCTTGAGATTGCTTTTCAATATTCAAGGACATTCGCTAGTTTTTCTAAGCTTCGCCTTTGCATAGGTTAGTTCAATACGCATTTGGAAACATAACTAGGATAAAGAAAATAGATAAACAAGTTGATATTTAACGTTCAACAATTGACTTTGACTTTTTCTTTGAATTCGCTATAAATACGGCGGATGCTCTCAACATTATACTGGCTTTGGAAAATTAGTAACGCATTGCGCGTAACATATATAAATAAAAAAATTTCGATGCTATGATTATTCTTTTCAAGAGTTCCTAAAAATAAAATGTGATATTAACTTTAACGTCTCGTTGTAATAAATTTGTAAAGTTAAGCTTATACAAAAATTTTAAACAAAAAATTGAAAGTGATTTTTTTTCATGAATAAACAATGTAACGCTTTTCCTAAATAGGTACAGTCCCAAATTAAAATTTTTTTATATGTATATGTTTTTTCTTTTCACTTACTTTAGGTTGAAATGCATTTCACCCACGCTAAGGTCGCATTCAACGACTGCGTATATATCTAGTATGTAAAAAAAATATATATATATGAACATCACATGTTTATTGACAAGTGCACGTAACATCTTGCGTTCGCACACAACTCCACACAGAGACACTATGATTACACAATAAGAAAATTTTCAAGTTCAACGATGCCATGAAAGCAAATCGAAATCGAAATAAACGAACAAACGAACAAAAACCAGTTGTGTGCTGTGCTTGCTTTCTTGATCATCTGTCGACTTATATGTATCTACATACATATATACATACATAATACATAAATACATATACAGCAAACGCTCGTACAAAAATCCAAGAGAAAGGCTTTCTTTGCTTTCCTTATCTCCACAGTGTTCTCATGCTCAGAATACACTTTAATGTTGTATGCGTTTTTTGCTCTTTTCTTTTTTTTTTCAATACTTATGTTTTCAACTTTCTTCTTGTGGACGAACAGAGATTACACCAAAAAAGAAATGAAAACGTTTTCATTTAGTTGCATATGAAAAAATAACCAGTTATTTACTTCACCTCCCCCGGAGAAAGTTACGTAATCTTTCTGAGGTAATCCTCTATTTCGAAGAGCCCCGTTTCTCCGTTTCTTTAACGTTCTTTGCTCAACTTTCTTCCCCGTATTAGTAAACACATTCGTATGTTAAGAGAAAGTATATATATATATCTAAAAAGACAAAAAGAAGAAAGAAAAAACTAATGGTGGAACAATGAATAAAAAGAAAGATTATCGTTAATTGGTAGCTGTTATTGTGGCTTTTATATTTTATTAATGATAGTAAAAGTAAATATAGTTTCATTTACAGTTTCTCTAATATATTTTCCCTTTTGTGTTCTTATATGAGAAAGATATAAGGAATTTTATAAAAGACGTCTCTTTTTCTTTTTATATATTTGCAGAATTTGACGGTACTACGGTTTTGTGCCGTGTTTGCGGTGACAAGGCCTCAGGTTTTCATTATGGCGTACATTCTTGTGAAGGCTGCAAGGTGAGTATATTGTATATATTTCTAAAAAAGTGATTGCAAAAATACAAGCAATAATGGCGGGTAGACATTTCCAAACCAGTCGAAAACAGTCCTGACTGGGCTACTGAAATGATTGCTATTAACTAAGTATTATTTAAAATGGTGGGTAAGCAAGGTTATATATATACCTATCAACGAAGCAAGGGATATATTCATTTCCTCATAATGTTTGCAACATCCAAAAGGAGTCTTCAGAAACCCTACAAGATATATTTATATATATAATACGCATATATCTTCAAATTCTGTTGATCAAATGTTGATCCCTACCATGCCTATCCGGCTGGGTGTCTGTATTGTTGATACTCTTTTGATCGATTAAAATTAATATATTAACTCCAAATTTTTAGAAAGGATACACCCGTAGCAGTGCGCTAACCGAACGCATCTCAGTTTCTCTTAGCAAAACTTTCTGAATTTTTGCTGATTACTCATAAATTACGAGATACAGAAGGCTGGAATTCTCCAAATTCATTCTACGTAAAACGCTATCGTTCATGTTTCAAAATGGAAAAACTGGGCCCCGCTCACACAAAGTTATAAGTTATCGCGTTTTCATTTTTCTCAAATTTTTAAAGTTTTCTACTTACTACTTTCATAAGTTAAGCAAAGCAGAATGTTGACAATTATTCTGCATAGTCGATATATGAAGATACATTACTTTTAATTAGAAAAAATTCAACACGCCTAATTATTGTTATAAAATATCGACATATAGTTAGTTTCGTTTTTCACATTTTTTCATTCATAGTTCTTAAGTTAGAGTGAAAAGAGCATCATTGTACAGTGTATAGATTTTTTATCCCAAAAATACAAATGGCTGATCAGCATGACAAAATGACCGGTATTTGGTATACGAGATTCGGTCTCAGCTGAATAGAACTGTTTTACTTGTTTAAATTTATTTTTTGTGACATTACAAAAGAGCAGAAAACTTCGTCTAGCCATATTCCTCCCTTTCTCCCTGCCTCTTACACAACGCCTTCAGAGTTTTTCTACTTGTCAGGGTCATCAAAATTAAAAAATAAGTATTCTTAATCAATAGGCTCGTATCCTTCTTTTTCTTTATATACACACACCTATGCATGTGTATATAATTATAAATATCGGAATCGTATATATTTTTAAATCCTACATACATATCACATGCGTACATGACTTAACCTTGAAAAAGTAGCTTGCCCCCATTCCCTTGTGCGTGCGTGTATCTATGCACATATGTACAAATGTGAATGTATACAAGTATTCGTTTTGCTTTCTGTTTACTTTTACGTACATATGTTCTTTTTCCTGTCACAATAACATCCTTGATTCACTTTAAAACCGATTTTGCCTTCTTGTTATAGCTTTCATCTCTTTTGAAGATCGATTTTTCTATACATTTTCCAAATATGTCTTTTATTATAAATAGTGTGACCAACATGACCAATACATTCATTTGTACATACTTACATGGATACTGATCATCATAGGGTTTCTACATTTTTTTCTAAGTACTTCTCTTTAAACTTTTTTAAAAAACGTTTTTTGTTCTTCGTTTTCGAAATTTAATATTTTCACATATATGCGTTCACCCCGAAATCCTACAAGACAGAAAAAGATAATTTTTGAAGTTCAAGGTTAAATAAATTTTCGTTTTCAACTCTAATTCATCTGTTCGCCGTCTCTCTTTTTCTTGTTTTATGCTTGCTACCCTGGAAACACTCTGTACTAAACAAGTTCGGCTACAATTTGTTTTTTTTTTTTTTTTGTTTAAAGTCTCAAGTCCCATTAACCAATCTACTAAAGACTGACTATGTACGCACATCCATTCATATCCAAACACAGGTATGAATACATGTATTTTTTGAAAAAATCTTTTTAAATAGCCTGGCGTATAAGTATGAAATTTAATGCGTACGTGATTGATGAAAAAAAAAAAAATTAAATGAGAAGAAGAAGAAGAGTGAGACGGTACATAAATATACACGTAAAGCGATAAAAAATTCAGGAAGTCAGTTCACACACATATACGCATGAACGTATGTATATTCATAATGTCTTATATATTTTATTATTTTAAACATTTTAAGGTTTGATAACCTTGATTATATTATGTGAATTTCAATTTTCTCTCTCGCTTCAACGAGAGATATAAAAGCAGTAGACGGCCGAAGAATTTTACATAGATGAAGCGATCAGAGGCTTTTGTAATTTTTGTTTTTCTTACTCTTCGCCATGTTCCACTTTTTGTATATCCTGCATTTTGCATACGCATCTTTCACTTAAAAATTGTTGCTTTATAATGATCGATTAATTTCGCAAATTTGTCTCCCTCTGATTACCACTGGTACGGATCGATGTAGTTATATCTAGCAGATCCGCAGATCTGTGCGTAAATGGGTTGATCACTACTTCATCTCAGAACTCTGAAAACTCTACTGTGAGAGAATTCGTAAGCTACCTGACGAAGGGCAAAAGTCGATAGATAATGGTGGTGAATATTTCTGTTAGTGGGGTTTGTAACAAGTATACTTATTTTAAGTCAAGTTGAATTTTGTTTGATATATTTTCTTACACCATTATCAATGAATAGGGATATACTATATTCGAAACCTTTTCAAACACTAAATTTATTTATTTAATTCCTACATCTCGGGATCTTTCGATGTTCAAGATAACCTTGTTTTACTTGTTGTAAATTATACATTGAGTATCGTTTTTTCAAACTTGAACTTCCGCATATTTGCCATTATTTCGATTCCAATAACGTTCATCAATTACCAGATAAATTTGAACTCCATTTTTGGTGTAAAACACCTCCTGATTTGCTGCGCTTCTTCCAACTTAATTATATTTGAGAACAATTACTCTTATATATTATTTACAGTGCTCAATACTATGAATTTAAATGCATCCTCCCGCCATGATTTATCATACTTAATATTTTTGTCTTTAGTTTCTCCGCTTTTTTTTTTGTTTTTATTTTTTTTTTTCTTTTTTTTATGATTGTTATTTAATTTAATGTAACACTGCCACTTCTCTTACATTTTTGTACACATACAACATCAATTACAATAATAACAACAATCTAAAAAATAACGAGATCATTACATATAAATATAAGTACGAATGCATATATGTACATAACGACGACGCGGTAATTGACCAGACCCACAGTGTGAATGAACTCGTTCAATGTCAAAGCGTAGTGGTTCTTTAATAGCATTCGTTCTGGAAAAAAAACAAGTCAAAGCGTTTCTAAAAAAAAAGAAAAAAAAGAGATAAGCTGAAGAATACATTACACCTATAGAAGGAAAAAAAGAGAACAATATACATGCACATACGTATGCATTTATAGGCATTTCAATACCTTTCAAATAGAAAGAGAAAGAAACGTAAAGAGAGATTTATGTTTATGCAGACTGCAGGGTTGTATTGTGCACAACACAAGCACTTGAACTGCATCAGTATTTACACGCTGTGTATGCATATTATTTTATTGCATATCACTTAGATCCTTCTTGGTTGCATGCTAAACACAGACGATAAGTTCAGAAGAAATTTTTCGATTATTATGGAATCAATATATACCCCCATTTCAAAAATTCACATTAACTAGCGTTCACTAAAAACAAAAAAAAAGAAGCGAATTAAAGGTAAAGTTTACATTCATTACATCCTTAGTATAAAGAATAAAAAATTAACAGTGATTGTATTAAGGACATGCGATTACGAATAAAATCACTAAAGTAACGCCAAGAGAGTAATCAAGCTGAATGAATATATATTTTAACATATATTTATCATTTCATATTAAATTAGTTGGCAGATTTTCAATCGTCTAATCCGCTCGATGATAGAATGCATTTCGCAAAAAATTTTTGTATAACTTTTTAATAAATCCTGGCCTCAAATTTTAAATTGCCGTCTGCCGGGGTATAGAAATTACTCAGAAACCAATTCTGTTCATCATATGTTATATATTCTTATTGTAATAATAAGCAGGTCGTAACCATTTTCAATTTTAGGAAATTCAATCAAGGATATGCTGATGTTATATATAAACTCATTCAAGGGCTTAGGCCAATCAAGAAATTATCTTTTATTATTTGAGTAGTGTTAGCTACTCTTTCATCCTATCATTTATTATTAAGAAAAGTTTGCATTGATTTCTTTTGTTTATTCCAATTATAACTAAATAGAGAATATTCTCTATTCTTGAATAAATATAGCATCCATTAATCCTCTAATCCTGAATTTATTTTATACTGTGCGGTTCAACTTCAAATTAAAGAATAGCTATGGGCTTAGAATTTTATTAAACAGATCTGATGAAAACGGTTTGTAGCTACAGTAGTTTCAAGGTCTATTGCTTACCTACATGTAGAAATGTATTTTGTAATAAAACTTCTTTTCTTTGCGCAGATTTTCTGAAGAATATCGCATGTATACGAAATTGTGAGTGTGCAAACATCTCTCCTTAATTGTGCCTTTTTTGTGCACGAAGTTGAATAAACTTAAATGCACTTGAAATCTCTTTACACAGCCACACGCATTTATATAAGCCTCTTATATAAATGTGTATGAATATATGCATGTCAATGTATTTAGTACGTAGTACCTTTCCATATTTTGCTGAAATTTTGTGAGGTTTGAATTTTAAGAATTTCAATTTTGAAAAATGAAGAACTATAACATTACTACATAAATACATTTATAGATACATACACACATATATATATTTATATATAATAAGTTTCATCTACTTATAAATATATGTTTTTTTCCTTTCAGTTTTGCAGGGCATTTTTCATTGTTTTGGTGCTTGCGGATGTATATACACTTTCTTTTAAATATGGAATTATTGAAAAATAATATGAAATATGCTTCGAAATGAGAGTTCGTTGCACTTTACAATTTAGGTCAACAACCTTACTACATTCTATTTAGGTTAAGACCAGGCAGGGTTGTTAATTGTT